GAAGGTACATTCGCAGTAGATTTGTTATAAATCTCAGAGGCTTCTGCTTCATTCTGAAGAGATTTTCATAAAAACCGAGTCTAACTTTGTTGATTATTCTGTTTCATAGCGGCTGAATATTTCGTTACCTATGCACCGATTGTGAGAGTGGATAATGTTAAGCCACGATTTGATTATCACAGGGAAAATGACAATTTACTGTGAGGGTGGATCGACATCGACTTCTCGGTTCATATGGATTTTCAGTGTAAAGTGTTGCTCTCACTGGTTGTTGTTGTTGTTGATTGCGCTTGACGTTTTTTTATCTGCGAGAGTCTCTTAGGTGCAAAAATCTGCCATCGTATCGGTTCGAGTCAGATATTCTAACGAACAACCTCAGTTAGTGAAATCGGTGAAGGTTAATAATGTAGTGTAAACCGCGTTATTCTGACTAGCTGTTGTCAGCGACATAGAACCGGTCCGCTTCGCACAACGTAAAGTGCCAGTTTTTTTCGTCTCTTGTCAGAGCAAACGACTAAAGAGTAGCTCAATCATTTAAACTGAATCACCATTGACATCTCGTTACCTCTTATTTTTCAGTACCATTGACAACTCCGTTTCAGTGAGTTAACTACGTCATTTAGAGTAAGAGGTAAACATAGAAGGTCATACAGCTTAGTTTACACCCAGATAAGAAATGTATCGTGTAACAATTTAACAGTTCAACAATTTAGAAGTTATAACACTCTTTCGCTGTAGGAGATGAAACGATGTCTGGTTGTGATGGTTAACCCGGATGATCATACGTTGAAAGGCTAAATTTTTAAAACTGCTCATAGGTCATTCACTCCTGAGCGATCGAAGGTCTACTGTATCAAAAAATCGACTTTTGCTGCAGGGGACATTAGCCAAAAATAAAAATTCAGCCACAGCTGATAAAAAATAGCGTTATGTGTACAAAATTGCTGTCAGTAAGGAACATTTTTAAATATTTTATTGCCCCCAGCAGTTTTTATAGCAAATTGTAAATTGTCACCGCTGATCATCCAGTTCATGCCACTTAACGTCACATACTGTACTGAAGGCACGTAAGGTATAAGTCCTCGAAGAAGTCTTTCAGTTCAGTTATCATCGACAGAGTAACGTTTAAAGCAGAAATCTGCATTTCAGACAAAATTCGGCAACAGATGTGTATGCAGTGTAGCTGTTGTCTGAAACGCTGACTTTGGACTTAAATTTTGTTGATTTTGAGTCTTCGTTGTTACTACTACTGAACTACTGAACTGAGTATATGCTTTTCTTTGAATAGGATGGCACAGAATATGTATGAGTTTTGAGGACACAGTGTATATTCCATTTTCTATGTATCACTACGATCGTCAGCTTTCTCTGTCATCTCAATTTCGCTAATATTTTGAAATGCGTCTGACTAAATATATACTACAGCTTTAGTAGAACATTTTGCATCTGTACAACTATTAATGGTAACGCGAATGGCTTGGTGCGCAGCTAACATTATCTGCAAAGAAGCATTATGCGCTGCGTTGAAATTATGAATAAAACTGTTTCGTAATTGAAAATCCATCGTTCATGTATTTAGTATTTGTAAAATGCTAAGCCTAATGATTTTAGGTTAGCCCTGACGAAAACTGCTTGTGGCGAGGATACCTAGATATCAAGTCGTTGAAGAAGCCATGGACTAGGAAGTACTTCGTTGTGCACATGGACTATGTTCTTTACAGCTTCAATAGCGAGAAGGTACGCAGATTTGAGGTCTGCCGTACTTGATTCGATGAGGATTTAAGGATACGTATGCGAGTACTTCTGCGCCGCTACCCGGCGTGAAGATTTGCCTTCCGGAAGCAAAATACGATTGGGCATTCGGTAAGGAGCCGAACGTATTTGAGATGGAGCAAAGACGCAGAGTTTACTTCCTCAGATGCCAGAGTAGGGAGGAAATGGCCAAGTAAGATATTGTCGTTTTACAGTCACCCATCGTTTCTTCGTACTTCAGATGGATGGCCGTTTTGGACCTTGCTTCGAAAGCAGAACTTCCTATTATTAACGCCAGTTGAAGCACGACCCCGCGGTCCTCGTGATATGAGCTGTACCTTTATCAAACATATCGGTGATACGTGTAGTTTGTTTTTTTTGCAACGCGGCAAATCATTATACAGTCTCGTTTTTACGTTATCTTCTTTTGTAAATATTAAAATATTTCTTTACTATTTAGGTCGTTTTCGCTTGCTTCATATTTCGAAATCATAATCGCAATTTTCTGCAATAAGTCAGACATTGTGGCTATTAAAATAGTTGATTTTGAGAACAGCAGGAAAAAAGGAATGCGGCTGATTACCAGTGCGATTCAGTTTCATTTGCGGTTCATTTGTCAGTGAATTTTATTTTTCTGTTGGTTCATCGAACGAATGCGGGACAATTTCGAAGTGAACTGCTCTTGAGGTACACCGGATGGAGATAAGTAGGCAATCGACAGCGACTGAACATGAGCGCATCATGAAGAGCTCGGTTTTTTCAGATATCTCGGCTTCATTATGTTACCGATTAAAAGACGAAAATGATGCACCTGTTTCGTCAGCGAGAGTTGCATTTTTTTCAGCTACGGACACCGGTCTGTTGACGTTGGGATATCAGCTCCATGACAAAAGTGCGCGTCCTGTGAGCCATAATCAGATCTTTGTTGTGTGTGTGTTGGTCTCTGCATGAGAAAAACGTAAAGAAATCAGAAGTATCGATCAGTGGTATCGCCGTATCGTATGGCGAATGATTCTCTTCGAAAATGTGTCCAAAGAAGGTTCACAGCCGCTGCAATGCTGCCAAAGTCGCAACTGTCATCCAAGAGCGCCGGCTGCATGTGCTGAAGATGATCTCACGATGAAACTGTATTTAAAGCGCTGCTTTGGACTGTATCAACGGACAGGTAACCAAGTCAAGACGTGGGTAAACACTGTCAGACGGGATCTCGAAAAGATATCCGGATCAACGGATTACGGAGGCGGAATAACTGTAGCCGGTGGCGGCCTGGCTCTCAACTCTGCGCCAGGAAGTACAGAGATAGACGATGTCATTTTGGCCGACTGAGCCATTCATGGCTACAGCCGTAATGAATCGAATCAAGTCACTGACCATCACGATTCATAGCAACTGTTGTGACCTTGCAAGTGCCGTCATACTGCGCTGTAGAAATTTCGACAGGTCATTACATGTACAACAGCGTTAGAGGAGAATAGAGCAATTGGAGCTTCGCCGTGCGAAGTAAGAGCACTTCCATAATTTGGTTACTATGAATGAAATGCTAGCATTTCAGTAGCTGCTCTTGGCAACTGCTAGGTCGCCACTCGGCGGTGCAAAGTTACTTATACTATTTGAAAAATTCAGCCGTCATTCATAACCTACACAATTCTGAACATTTAACGGGTGAATTGTTGCATGCCACAGACTCTCAGGATTTCTTCTAGAAGAGTGAATTATGTAATCAGGATAGAAACATTTCAGGATGTCAATGCGCACTTACTGAAAGAATTCTATTGCCATGTTCTGCAGTCAGCATTCTCATTTGCAGCAGCGTACTGTAGTAGCAGTCTTATAACGAAATTTTAAATGCACTGCATCTACTGTCTTAAATATTAGACATTTCATCTGAATTTTTACAGACAACAGCTAACGTAATGACAGCTCCACTAAGTAACCGCAGTATTGGTTCTTTTACACGTTCACTGACCGAGGAAGCTACCGTATGAACCTCTGCATATAGCTATGTGAATCCACTGCGCACGCTTAATTCTGTTTCAATATGTGCATCGTGATCATACCATCTCGCTGTACGTTCACTGCTCAACTTATGCTTCTTCCATGAGTCTCCCAACTGCCAGCGCTGATCAACTATTAGAGGTTCGCTCCCTTGTCGATTCTTTCCGGCAGTTTTGCGCATTCATGGATTGGTCACGCACATAAATTACTGCCGAGGATTCGTATTTAAATATGGGAGGGGTCGGCGGCACAGTAACAAAAGTTCGGCTTCGAGCTTCAGAGGTGAGAGGTTAGAATTCGTTCACATTGCTTTTAGGCAACCAACTGGAAGCGAGCAGCGAGCGGTTGACTTTTCGAACATTAGAGGCCGAGTGGTATTTTAGTGAACGAAAGGCCAGGCCTGACAGCTTGAGAGCTGCGGCTGCACTCCCCGGGGTGGCAATTCACCTCCACTCACCTGATATGATAATCAGTACAAAGTATGCCCCCTATAGAATGAATGAGAGTTAATTGTCAGCCAACGAGCATTTCGCCAGAGTGAAACAGACGTATTCATTACTTTCTACCGGTATGATAAAAAATTTCAGGTTTTCAGATTCAGTTTCATCCCTCCATTATTACTGCAAAAATAAAATTAGGTAATAATCATACATAAACTTGATAATGTAATACATCGGTCTTCGCCTTAATAACTTATTTGAACACATTCAGAGTATCAGACAGCAGTTTCATTTTTTCCCAGAATTTTGTTCTCATCTTCCCATGAAATCTTTCTCCATCTCGCAGAGCTTAGATTCATGAACGGAGATATTGAAATGGTCTTTGAAAACGCTCAGTATAAATGGCGAGCGATAGCTTTTTATTTTGCGATTACAGATTATGGAGCGAACTTTTTTGCTATACAGAAGTATCTCAGTGGGTATAAAGTCCTTACACGATCCGAGAAACAACATGAAAATAAATATTAAACACCTGAGGATAGCATAAGTGTATCTGATCAGAAATAATCCCATTCTTAGAGGCAATAAAGCAATGAATAAGGTCATCTGTCGACCTCATTTGTGTCACTCCATTTAACGGACCATTTCTTGATTCATGATTGGCCTTCACTTCTGCTGCAAACTTCAGGAATATACACTCAGTGGTTCATGGTACTCCATAATTCGTTCCTGCAGTTTACGGTTGCACACTGCGTCTGCACATCCGATACCGATAGCGGACTGCGAAGAAATTATGCTTAATCTTCTTCATCTTACATCGCCGCTTCTCCGTTCGGATCGCCGAAGCAGACACGTCAGACACAACTTCCAACGTTCCCGATCCTGTGCCAGAGTCTTAGCTTCGGCAAAAGACAAATGGTCTCTGGAAGAAACTTCTTCCATATGTTTGCACCAGGTTAATCTTAGCCCTCCCCTGGGCCTTTTGCCAGTCGGATTTGCAAGGAACAATTCCTTAGCCTTCCTTTCTGGAGAATTTCGCAACACATGCCCAAGCCATCGCAGCTGTGACCTCTCAATATGGAAAAGCAAAGGCTGCATTCCAAGGCTCTTCCGGATGTCACTATTCCGGACCATGTCGAGACGCGTAA